CTAAATGACTGATTGACTGATAGCTGAGCTGATTCTTAACTGAGTCTGATCGAAGCTGAGCTGATTCTCAACTGATTCTCACCCAATGTTGGGACTAAATGACTGATTGACCGATAGCTGAGCTGATTCTCAACTGAGTCTGATCGAAGCTGAGCTGATTCTCAACTGATTCTCACCCAATGTTGGGACTAAATGACTGATTGACTGATAGCTGAGCTGATTCTCAACTGATCCTGACTTGATTCTAAACTGATTCTGATTGAAGCTGAGCTGATTCTCAACTACTTCTGACTCTGAACTGATCTGGTACTGATTTTGACTGAACTGATTCTGAACTGATACTTATACTGACTGTCAAACTGAACTCTTTTCTGACTGTTTGAAGGGTTTTTATACTGATCCTGGGCCTACTCCCTCCCTCTCGATATACGAAGGTAGGCCTGAGGGGCGGTTTTTCTATCCCTTTTCTATCCCGTCTCTAAGAATAATTGCCGTGTCGTAAAATTGTCCCCTTGTTGTCCTAACAAACCCTTTGCACTCGGCAGGTGACTCTCAGTGATGAGTTTGATATTTAATATTACTTCATATAAGGCATCAATCTGAGAAATATTCACGTAAAACAGCTTCGTCCGTCGATTGGCGTGAATTTCTCGTCGAGTTCGGTTTACAGAATATCCTCTTCATCTCATCGGAAAATGTTGAAATATTTCTAGTGAAGAACTTCGGAGTGCAAAGGGTTAACATTTAGGGTTCTTCGGTTTTTAGAGGCGTAAGGCGCTTGTACGTGTTGCAGATTGGTTTTGGAAGGGAACGATGTAAGGGAGAGAAATGGCAATCAGAGAGAGAGAGAGTTCACTCTTTGTGGAGGAAGATTCTGTGAGATATAGAAAAAATTTGGTTGAAGCTAAATTATGTATCAGTTGATTACACGATAGAGGAAGGGATGTACTGGTTTCTACTTGAATATTTGAATCGTTTGTTTGCGACTTGGTATTGCGAACATGAATATTTGATATCCTCGGAATGTTGATATTTGTCTAAAGGGTTAATAGTTTGAGAAAACTGGGTAATATTGGTTAATAAGTTCTCGAACTTCGAAGAGTCGTGAGAATTTGAAAAATACAGAAATATAAAAGTATGTATGATTAAAACCGTAGTAAAGTAACGGAAATTCAAACATGAAGCGTGCGAAAAATAGAATCTCGATTATCACCATACATCTCATCCCCTAAAGATTCCTCGAAAATCGAAATTCCCGAAACGTCCGTAAAGAAACAAGATTCTAAAACGCACGATCCACGGACGAAAGATTCCAAAACCAATTCCCGAACCCTCGTGCAAAGGAAACCTGCGAGCGACAGAGAGCCGGTTTTTTAATTGTTAAATAATACGCGGGCGGTAAGAACGGTCTCACCCCTAGCAGAATGGAAGCCACCCCGAAAAGACCGGGCCGTTTCTCGTGTCTCCAATAACAATAACTTTCGCGAAGTAAGCACCCGAAAAACGCTCTCGAGGCGTCCATTACGTCGCGATATAACGCGTCCCACCCCCGGGCACTTTTTCCTGCCGCCGGCGTCCCCCGCGACGGGGGTAAAAGCTCGCCCCTCTTCGCGGTCCAGCAGGCTGCGACAATTTGCCGCATAACGATGCCTTCTTTCTTTTCGTAATTGAATCTAAATATTAAAACTCCTGGCTTCGCCGCCAGCGCCTCCTTGATTTTTCGTTCCTTAAACGCACCGCGGGGGTGAGTGGAACACACGGAATACTTGTGTATGCGCGCGCGTGTGTGTGTGTGTGTGAGTGTCTGCCCCAAACCACGAGGTGGAAAAGTTTCGAGACTCGGCGGCCAGCGTCCTCGTTGCCCACGGAATATCGTTTAGAGCGATCCTGCCGCTGAAATTACACCGTAACGCGTGTTAAAGGGCTGGGCTCGTTCAAAAACTTCCCCGCAGTCTCTCTCGCTACAACCCCCTCCGCGCACCCCGCCCCTTTACGACCGTTGCGTCGTTACCGGGTAGCGAATTGTCCGAATTATTGTCGACTAGACACACCCGGCACGGGGAAATAACGTTTTTTCGGGATTTCGAAATTTTCTGCGGCTTCAACCGCCGGGGTTGCTACCCTTGTACCAGGGATTTTGACGTCGATGCATCGGGCATAGGTTTCAGTCTCTATGGGATTTTTATAGCTTGAGTCGCCGGAGATTTTCCGGCGGATGACGGGATTGTTTCCAGGGTGAATCTCGAACTCTTAGGAATTTGTTTGAAAGAATTGTCTTTTGTAGATGTACGTTTAACCCTTTGCGCTAGAGGCGCCTCTAAGTCACCGAATGATTTGACACAGCTAAACTGTAAACTTTGATGTGTGGGAATGGATGTATTGGAGTGTGTGGATAGATATATTGATGAGTGGTGAATGTGTGTGCAATGAATGTTCAAAGCATTGGAATATTCTAGGTTATATTGATTTTCTCTATATATTAATAATATTCGTTTTTTTATGAATCTAGAATATTCCAAATATATGTGAGATTAATGCATGGTGATGAAAGAATGTTCTAGAAAGTATGTGAGTGAGACAAGAGCATCTGAGTATATAAATAGTGTGTGCGTTGTTTGAATTAGTTAGTGTTTTATTGTCAAGAAATAATTTTACTGTTTCTAATAAAATTCTCTTTCTCCTACAAATTGTAATATTAAACTTTGTATAACGCATCAATGTACGAAATATCGAAAGAAAATAGTTTTCCTCAATGCATGTGAGATTAATTCAATCTGAGAAAATGTCATCTGTATCTCATTAGGAAATATTGAATATTTCCGGTGAAAAACTTCTGGAGTGCAAAGGGTTAAAGTATTTTCTAAGTGGAAATCGAGTACTCTTTCGACTATTTCTTTCCTACGATTTTATATTTTGGCTTTTCATGAAAATTCCGATGAAGAATACCGATGGAGAATTATAAAATGATCGAAGAACACACTCGGTGAATCGTTCGATCGGATATCGGCGTAGGAATCTCGAAAGTAACGGGAACATCGAAGCCAAGATCGCGAAGGGAAACGGTGGAAACAATTTGAGAATAAAAGAAACGATCCGAAGTGAATTTCGTTCGGGAGCTGGAGATGTTTGGCCACGGGAAAGGAATCGTGTGTACGTGGCCGCGCGAGAGCACGTGGCCGGTTCTTGGCGTACGCCAAATCAACAAGGTTAGCCCCCTACGTACCGAATTACGGGTTTACGAATCTTTGGCAGCCGGCGAACCAAGGTTGGGTCGGCCATGTGCACGCGACTTCCCGTGCCACGTGCTGTTTCGCGGAGAATTTCCTTCACGCTTCGCTTCGGCCGTTCCGTTGTCTCGGGAGCGGAGCGGCGTCTCCCGCGAAACCGAATCTCGCGCCAAAAAAGACGATGACCGGGACCAGTCCAATTTTGGGAATCGTTGCCCGTATTATTCTCGAGTCGTTCGACGGCGGAAACAATAATTTATCGTGAATATCGAAAGCTGGGGAACATCAAGATTTTATCTGGTAATTCAATTCGCTGATTCGTGTGAAAAAGTTACGACTTGACTTTCGGTGTTTGATACATTATTAAGAAATAATAGTGTTTCTGATAGATAAGAAAATGAGAGAAAATATTCTGAAGCGAATAGACGAATAGACTACCTAAAGATACAATTCACACGACTGAACTATTAACAATTTGCACTCGAAAGGTGATTCCCTTCTTAGTACAAACTTCGTATATTTGGAAGATCTAAGAATCTTAGTTTTCTTAAAATTTATTAAAATATTTAATATTAGAACTGGTGCAATGTTGGAGCCTACAGAGTTCAAAGGGTTAAAAATCCATATTAAATATTCAGCAAATGAAGCTAAATCATAACAGTTACTTAAATGATACGAAACTATGCACTGATCTCTTGGTGTTTGAGCAATTAAATTATTTGTGACTTAATCTTGAAAAACATGAAAACTTCATCTCGCCGAAACGTCGACATTCGTCCGCAAAGGGAACTAATGAAGAACTAGAAACATCGGAACTCTCCTAGAAAGCTTCTCGAAAAATCCCAGAGGCAATAAATAAAATTCTACATTGTTCACCTACAATCGACTTCCCGCATCCTAAAAAATGTGAGCAAATAAAAAGCAATAATTCGCGCGATTAATTAATGTTGAAATATTTCGTGCCTGGCGAGCGTCAGCCGAGAACCATCTCCTCGACGAGAATAACCTTGTTCGTCGAGGAGGATCCATCATCGCGCGCGTTTCCCGACGCAACGTAATATCGCCCCGGCCCCAGTCCTAACGTCGGACGATAAAACAACGAACGAAAAGGTTTCGGGAACGATAAAGCGAACGGGGAACGCAATTCCGCGCGGTACGTAATCGACAATTGGCTCCAGACTCCGCGCCGGCTCTTCCCCTCCTCGAAGACGGATTGCGCTCGGAAAAATGTCTTTGATAGGTCGCTCTCTGCTCTCTGCTCTCTACTCTCTCTCTCTCACTCTTTATCTATCTATCTATCTGCCCCCAGCCCACTGTGACTTTCTAGCATTCAAAGAGGAGGGTTCAATTCAGGCCAACCCTGTGTGTATACAGACTGTAATCTATAACAGGGCCGGGCATTATCAGAATCAACTTTTATTCGAATCATCATTCACTGAATATTTTTATGTTCCTTATTTACTCTGGTCTGTTGTTACTGATATTGCATCGGTGATAATGTCGCTAATATATTAACACTAGGTTTACGGACGTTTATTGTCCGGTTTGTTCTATTGTTCCTAGAAAAATTGATGTTCGACCATTTAGATCTTGGAAGTTAGGGATTTAAAATTAGGTTATTACGATACGTATTGTAACTGCATCAACCGAAACCGACGTAAACGTTTGCCAAGTAATGTTTGTAAATTCAGTATGCGTCAAATTGACGCAATCCGGAAACCTAGTGTTAATAAATGATTCTTGAACTTTGTTTCGGGTGTATGTTAAGATTGGAATGTTTCAATCGGTTTCTCTAGAGGAGTTTAACCCTTAGCACTCCAGGTTGTTTTGTAATCAGCAACTGCAACTAATTTCTATAGCATTCTTAGCGATATTGGATTTTAGAAATATTATTTTGTAAATGTTTACGCCGATTTTCATTGATGCGATCGCACTGACATGTACCCCACCTACTATCAAATCTCCAGTTTCTACGATCTAAATAAACGAGCATCAATTCTTTCAGAAATAATAGAATGAAGTGTACAATAAATACCCGTAAACCTAGCGTTAATTATATAACAATCACTGAAGCAATAGAAAAAAAAACAGAAACCACATGCCAATCAGTAATCAAACAATTCGCGACGTAGTCCAATGAGCGTTTCACCTCCCCATCCGTCGACATTCGTCCGTAAAGGGTTAACATTTTTCGACTCGAAACTCGCGGAACGTTTGCGAGAACGGTTCGATCGTCCGCGCTCCGGCGGTCGCGGAACGATGATATTTCTATCGGTTATTTCAACTTGACCCAGCGTTGGTCGCGATAAAACGCGGAACGATGGGGGGATGATTCGAAAATAATCTATCGGGCGGGCATCGTTTCGGAATCTCGTTTGGGTCTTTATTCCCCGTAGGCGGGACACGATCTCGCACGCGCACGTGTGCACGGTCGACGCATATCGATTCGGTTTTTCGAGTGCGGGCCTCCGGTTTTCGGCGGCCGCTACGCTGTCGCGACTCTGTTTGCCCGTGTTTACGCCCGCTTATCCTATCAAAATCGTGCATACGCGGTGTAACTCGTGTCACGGGAATTAAGCCCGGCCGAAATGAGCTCACCTGGCCGCAGGAAATTTTCATCCCCCGGCTCCTGCCCCGAGGGGCAGGAAAAAATCGTCGGGGGGCGGTGGTCGCGTCGAACGAACGTCAATGCGAGCAATGAAGCTTACGGCCGGCTGTACAGTGATTTTCGGGCGAACGTCATTGGATAGATCCAGCTGCAAGGGATGGTTTTTCTGGTGGAAGTAATCATTGAATTTGGAAAAGAGGTCTCAGGTAATTTCTAATGGGATATCGCGGGAAAATTCTTTTTGCCTCAGTTTTAGTGGCAATGGTACTTACTGAAACTACCGAGCAGTTGACTTTTCGGAATTCCTCTGTAAACTCCATTAGTGCATCTATTGAACCTTTATTTGATTTACAATTTAGCTTCCGTATTGCTGAATCAATGTCTGTAGTAATTTCTCAGACGTCTATTTCTCATAATCGCAGAAAGAAGAAATCAGGTCACTGGTAGTTTCAGCGTGAAGGTAGGACTACCCTTGTAATTTAGATTCCAGTGGTTACCACGTTAGCAAACTGAAATCTAACGCGAATTAGAACTCGCCACTGCGATTATTACAAGTTTCATTTCGAACATAGAAAATATGTTCCGCTCGGTAAGCTTACTGCGCTCGTTGTACGCTAAACACCAAGCGCCATTAATTCGCTCTTACACTTCTATCATTTATCACTCGAGAACCAAAGAATTCACGAACCACCTTCAGCGTCCCGCTGCAAACTCGCTAAAGCGAGCCACGCTCGGTCCCGAAATCAACGGAAAATCTCCCCGATAAATCCCTGAGACCGAAGCCGCGCAACAACCGAACAATCTGCCAACATCGCTTCCGCGAAGGCGCGCCGGCAAAAAGCCCCGCGAAAAACCGGGTGCCGCGGCGACCCCACGAGGGCCCTCCATAAATTAGCATCCACCGAAGAAGCTTCGGAAGCGACCGGCATAAATCCGGCGCATCCTCCTCGAGCGCCGCGCGACGGGAAGAACCTTCTTTCCGACGTTTCGCCGTCCGCGCGCATGTAACTCGCGGACAGAGAAAAAACCGCTGGATATCGCCGCTTCGAGTGTCGGGCGGTGGGAACGCCGAGGCGAGGGGGTGGATCGGCGGTGCGTTGATCGAAAATTTATGGGAAGCCCAT